CAGGTGTGTTGTGAATGACCCAGTCCCCAGGGCTGAGCTTCCCAAGGGTCTCCACAGTTGCTGATCTCAGGAAAGATTTCGCTCTGTTCTGAGAACTGGAGGGGAGAGCAGTTGACACTGCTGATACCTGACTCCTTCCGAGCAGCTGCCATGGGCAGGGGCTCCTTCTGGCATAGGTGTGAATTACAGATTCCCAACCCTTCTTACTCATCATTTTCTGTTTCTGCCATCTTTCAGTCACTAACAGAAACTTGAACTTGAGTTAGGAGTTCAGGAAGCCCCTCCCCCCAACACACACACACACACACACACACACACACACACACACACACACACACACACACACACACGGCTGCAGATGAACCCAGCATCTTCCCTCTGTTCCAGGTCCACCATCTTGGTTGTTTTTCAGCAGAACACACAGCTCTGAAGGACAGGGACTAATACTTGCTACGCTTTCTAGTTCCTGAGAAGGTAGCCTTCACCCATGTTCACATGGTAGAAAAAGTGGGCCTGTGGAAGACTAATCCTAGCACCCAGGAGGCAGAGCCAGACAGATCTCTTGGGTTCCCGTCCAGCCAAGGCTAAACAGTGAGGTGTGTTCAAAAGGGAGCGGGTGGGTGGGGAGCAATTCAGTGGTGAGAGTTCTCCTCCCTCCCCAGGGTCAGGCTCTCTCTGTCTTTGTGAATAGTCATTCTCTCTTGGTTGAGACTTTTTCAATATTTTGTTTATTTATTTTATGTACATTGGTGTTTCGCCTTCATTTCATGTGTGTCTAGGTGAGGGCGTCAGGTCCCCTGGAACTGGAGTTAACTGGAGTTACAGACAGCTGTGAGCCACCATGTGGGAATTGAACCCAGGTCCTCTGGAAGAGCAGTTACTTAGCCACTGAGCCATCGCTCCAGCCCTGGTTGAGCCTTTTTTGAACACTACTAGATTTTTTCCCCCTTTTTAAACAAAACATAACACAAAGGCTTTGTGGCCAGGTCGGTAGGTGGCTTACCACATAGGGTTCCGCCTCAGGCCTGGGGATCTGAGTTTAATCCCTGGAACACAAATGATGGAAGGAAGGACCGACTTGGACAGAGTTGTCCTCTGATCCCCACAGACACTGCATGCAGGAATACGTATACACACGTATGTGCGTGCATGAGTAAACATAATTAAAAAGGCGTTTGAAAACCTTTTAAAGGGGAGAGGTGCTGAATAGATGAACTGCAAAGTTCAGAGCTCTTCTTGATGAGGACCCAGGTTCAGTTCTCAGCACCTGCACAGCAGCTCACAACCACCTCTGACTCCAGTTCCGGCACCCTCCTCTGGCACCCTCAGGACCACACACACGGCGCACATACACACATGCAGCAGAACAGTCATACACATAACATACAATACATGACAGTATTAGGAGCCTGGGGATAGCTTAGTGGTTGGAGCGTGTGCTGCCTTTACAGAGTTCCTAGGTTTGGTTCCCAGCACTCAGAAGGGGTGACTAAGTTTAAAAATTATCTTGTAGCCATAAATAGTATGGTTAAGGTTTTTTGTTTTTTTGTTTTTGTGTGTGTGCGTGCGCGTGTACACACACACACACACAAGCGTACATGGTGTTATGAATGCTGTGGTATTCTTTGTTCTTTTTCTTTTGAGACAGGGCCTCTCCAAGTTTCCCAGGCTTGTGTTGACCTGCTCTGTAGCTCAGGCAGCAGGCCCTGACCTTTCCGCCCTCCATCCTTTGCCTCCCTAGTGGCCCAGATGGCAGATCTGCCCCCCTGGCTCCTCCTTTGCTTTTAGCAGGCTTCTTAGAGCCTAAGGTTTCCCTCTAACTTAGTTTTCACTGGCAGAGACCATGGAGACTCTTCCAGATGTGGCTGAGTTACTCTAGCTAAAGGTTGCTGGTGGCCTTGCACAATCTCCATGTTGCGGTGGACGGCAAGGAGACAAGCTCTGGCTCCATAGTTGTCCACTGCTGCTTCTGGGCTCTGCAGCCAGAGTCCAGCCAGCGGTGTAGTGCGTGGTGAGGTCACCGGAGCTTGAAATAGCTCCAGGCTCTTGAAATAAGGACAGCATGATTTAGGGCAAAGGCCAGAACTGGATCTCCATGGCTGCAGGCACTTGAGCTCCTCTGGCGTCACACCGATTGGGTTGCAGTAGGCCTTCAGTTTCTCCAAGACCTGAGAACAGGCCAGGGGCTGGTGGCCGAGAGCCTCCAGGGCCCGTGTCCCAGTCTGTCTGAGGAGTTCCTTTGCAGGAGGCTATCGGGGTTCATGGAAGGAATATAAAGAGCATATAAGAAGTGTCAGTCAAGCCGGGCGGTGGTGGCGCACGCCTTTAATCCCAGCACTCGGGAGGCAGAGGCAGGCGGATCTCTGTGAGTTCGAGGCCAGCCTGGTCTACAGCGCGAGATCCAGGAAAGGCGCAAAGCTACACAGAGAAACCCTGTCTCGAAAAAGAAGTGTCAGTCAAAAAGACACTCCGTCCAGGAAGACCGCAGAGGTGGCTGCTGATGAGAGACGCAGGTGGCCCTGGGGGGTGCTGGTGCTGAGTGAAGAGTGTTGGAGGCTTCTCAAAGGCATCATCCCACACCTGTCGATAAACCAACCTGTGTCTACCCTGGCTGCTTGAAGCACTGCGTAGTGGCTCAAGCTTTTAGTTCCAGCATGCTAGACCCAGAGAGTGGATGAACTATAGACCAGCTAGGGCTATGTGCAGTCTCTCTCTGTGTTTTGAGACAGGGTTTCTCTGTGTAGCCCTAGCTCGCCTGGAACTCTTTCTGTAGACCAGGGTGCTCTCTAACTCAAGAGATCCACCTGTCTCTGCCTCCTGAGTACTGGGGTTAAAGGCGTGCGCCACCACCGCCTGGCTATTCCATTTATTTTTATGTGTGTTGGGGGAAGGCAATTGTATGGCATGTGAAGGTCATAGGTCAGCTCGGGAGAATCAGTTCTCAGCACTGTGGATCCCAGGGTCAAACCCGAGTTGTGAGGCTTGACAGTGGGCAGCTTCACCCTGTGACCCGTCTTGCCTGGCCCGATCACCTAGCATTGACTTCCTTTCTGTGATGTGTCATTTGTTTGCTGTTAGCCTAGGAGTAGGCAAAAATGTCCTTTTTTTTCAAACGTCAACTTGAGGGTGACTCAGTCTTTCCCAGAGGGACTGGGACTCAAATAAGGGAACAGGGCGGGGTGAGGAAACGTGCTCCCTCCCTGAGAACTGCTGAGTACGTCCACAGCCATCTCGGGCTAACATTGCAGTGTGTCCGTGGTACATGAGCACTCTTGACGTTTGCACTTGGGGGCATTTGACTTGGGTAAGACCTGGACTGACAGGCACTCCCCTGTGGCAGACACTGGTGCTTACTGCCGTGGACGCCATCCACCCTTCTCTTATCGTCACTTCCCCTTCTGCCCAGGCAGAGCACAGTCTGTCTGTCTGCCGACTAGGTCCCTGGATGACTGGAGGACCTACTATGGGTAGATGGGAGGATGTGCTTCTCCTCGTTAACATCTGTGTCCTAACGATGCCTGGATCCTTCTTCCCCCAGGTGACAGAGCTGAACGAACCGCTGTCCAATGAGGAGCGGAACCTCCTGTCTGTGGCCTACAAGAATGTGGTCGGGGCTCGCCGCTCCTCCTGGAGGGTCATCAGCAGCATCGAGCAGAAGACCTCTGCGGACGGCAACGAGAAGAAGATAGAGATGGTCCGGGCCTACCGGGAGAAGATCGAGAAGGAGCTGGAGGCCGTGTGCCAGGATGTGCTGAGCCTGCTGGACAACTACCTGATCAAGAATTGCAGTGAGACCCAGTACGAGAGCAAAGTCTTCTACCTGAAGATGAAAGGGGACTATTACCGCTACCTGGCCGAAGTGGCCACCGGGGAGAAAAGGGCCACCGTGGTGGAGTCGTCCGAGAAGGCCTACAGCGAAGCCCACGAGATCAGCAAGGAGCACATGCAGCCCACCCACCCCATCCGCCTGGGCCTGGCGCTTAACTACTCCGTTTTCTACTATGAGATCCAGAACGCCCCGGAGCAAGCCTGCCACCTGGCCAAGACCGCCTTCGATGACGCCATCGCCGAGCTCGACACTCTGAACGAGGACTCCTACAAGGACTCCACGCTGATCATGCAGCTGCTCCGAGACAACCTAACGCTCTGGACGAGCGACCAGCAGGACGACGAGGGCGGCGAAGGCAACAATTAGGGCCCCGGGGGACTGGCCGCGCACGCCGATGCTACTACTGCAGTCTTTATTTTTTTCCCATGAGTTGGGGGTCGGGTGGGGGAGGGGAAAGGGAGGGCTGACCTTCCCAGGGAGAAACCCACGACTGTCCTGTCTTTGATCGCCTCTTTGACATTTTTGCCAAAACACCACTAGTGGAAGTCAGGCTTGCCGTGCTGGTGCCGGAGTAGCAGCCTCACACAGGCGCCGGGACTGTCGTGCAGGCTCGTGTGAGTGGAGCTGTCTGCCTTTAGTTTAACTTATTGCTAGACGGTAGGGTTTAAAGATGAGAAGAAGATCCGGAGATGGATGGCCCTCATTCAGTGTGTTCTGTGGTTCCAGTAAGGACTCTCCTGTCCGTACGCTCTCGCCCTCAGTTCTGTGGCTGGTTTCTCCCTGTGTGGCTGTGCTGGGTTTTTTCTTTTCTTTTCCTTCTCCTTCCCCCAGGGTGATCTCTGCCAGAGACGGCCTAGTGTCAGTTACCCGAGTGGACAGGCTTAGAGTGGAAGACACACCCTTGGTCGCTGCCTCAGGCCTGGCCCTGTGTTCGGAATCTCGGACGGGTTGACAGTATTAACACTAAATTCTGGTTTACAGTCTCTCCATGGCAGCCATACCCGACATCGAGCCATTGGGCCTGAGTTTTCCCTTACCAACTCAGCTTTGCATCCGTATCCCGCTGTATCCAGGTTGGTCTGGCTGCTCTTCAGCTCTCCTGGTTGAGAATCAGAACTTTCTTTTAGGTTTTGGTTAATGGGTGCTTGACAGGTGGCTGGCCGTGGGATACTTCTTTTTTTTTTTTTTTTAAGTTCTTCTTTACTCTTTAAGCCCATCACAAAAATAGAAACTGTTAAGCACCACACACACAGAAAACGGAGAAAATTCAGGTCTGTATGTCGTTTCTCATGTTGGTATTTTCAGAGCCTCCTGCTCCCCAGCAGCCGGGGCTCCCTCCTCAGTCACTGCCGGTGGAATATTTCTCAGCTGAGTCTCCCCAGTACCTCGTGCTGGCAGCGTGCAGGTGTCTGGAGGCCATTGAATTGGATTGTAGAGGTGGGTGGTCGTCGAGAAAGTGGAGCATCGGGTGTGAGCAGCTGAGCCAACAGCAACCCACTAGGAGGAGGCAGCTCCCCTCAAGCCTGTCCAGTGTGGGAGCCTGGTCCCAAGTCAGCTGTCCCTGTCACCCGTCCACGGCCCAGCTCCTTTCCCAAGTGCTTCGAGAGGGTAACTGATGTTTGGCAGGAGGCAGTGCCCACCGCCCGTTTGGCCCAAGCGTTCCTGTTCTTTCCTTCTGAATGAAAGCGTAGATGCTGGAGATTGGCTTCTCTCTGAGGTCACTACACGTGACGCTGAAGGAAGCTGTGCTGCTATGTCCCACATGGTCCGTCTCACTTAGCCCTAGGTCCCTCGTTCTCACTGGATAAATCTATCCATAAGCATGCCTTGTTGCATGCGGAGTGTACAGTTTCTGTCTTCTAGAGGATCCATGGTCGGGTGGATTCCCAAGATGGGTCACGCCCCAAACTTGCTTTCCTCGTGTTCAAAGACCTAGCCAGCCACCTTCTCTCACCAAAACCAAGCTCCCACTTAAGTGAGTCCTCCTGACAGGATGCTGGTAGTATGGCTGTAGAATGACTGCCCTCTACACAGTCCCAGCATGCCTTTCTTCAGAGGCCCCTCTTGCTAGTGTGTAAGGACCCACTAACCGAGGCCCACGAAAGAACCGCTCTGGCGAGCAGAGGAAGCTTGGCCGCCAGAGCCATGGCCAAAGGGGACGGTGGGGCTTCGCTTAGCTTGTCTCTGTGTCCGCAGTAAGCATGTCCTTGTCCCGCTTGTACTGTTCGGAAATGACCTACTGGAATTGCAAAACCTAGTCTCTCTTTAAATTTCAGCCTTGACCCTGGCTGTGTTCTAGAAAAATCATGTAAGAGGGTAGAACTGAAGAGGGGAGAGCTGATGTGTGAGCTTGGATGGTTTCTTCTCCTTTCCTTTCCTGGTGAGAAGCGCACCTGCCTAGGACGCTGCCTCCAGTACCACGGTTGCTCCTCCATCCTATTGATACAGTATTGTGCATGCTGGTGTTGTATTTCTATACGGTAGCTTGACATTTATTAACTTATACTGTAGGTGTTATGTATCCCTATGACAAAAACAAAAAAACAAAAAAAACTAAGACTTCAAAATTTTTTAAACTTTTTTTTTTTAATTTAATTTTTTTTTTTCCTTTCAGGGGTAAAGTTTGCTTTACCAAATAGTGATTGTAACAAATTGATCTGTTTTGGATGTTGCTATAGTGACATGCAGTTCTATATTTTGTTTTTCAGGGGGGAGGGGACAAAAGAAACACCAGTGTTAGCTTACTCTTAATGTCTGGTGTTTGTCACGGTGAAATTAATAACTATAACAGTGTAGGAGAACGCCGCGGACGTTCTCTGAATGCGCCTCTGTGCTTCCTCGTCATGTTATGCAGTGAGCTATTTTTAAGGTCCAATCAAGTGATTTTTTTTCCCCCCAACTCCGTGTTTCGCTAAGGAATTATTTCGCACACGGACCATTGTTAGCAGTTTTCCTCAGTGATGGAATATTCATGAATGTGAGTCATTATGTAGCCGTCGTACATTGAGCAAAATAAACGTACAGATCTGATGTCAGCGCTACCTAGCTTCATTTAATAGGGTTTAACTGCTTTGTTTTTAAAGGTTTGATTGGAAGTGGGCGTCCTCCACCCCCACTCAGCAATGAGGCTGGGTGGTGCCGTGGGGGCTGTGACAGTACATAGATATCAAGGGCGGGGGTGTAGCTGGGGGTAGAGCGCTTGCTTGTCTCAGCACCACACACACACACAGAGCAAGTTGAGTGTGGTGGGTGACACTTGTGATCCCAGTACGTGGGAGTCTGAGGCAGGAGGATCATAAATTCAGGGTCAGCCTGTATTACAGAGTGAGACCCTTGTCTCAAGAACCCAAGAAGTGGACCAAATGTAGTGGCACACGCCTTTAGTCCCAGCACCTGGCATGGAGAGGCTGGGGGAGAGCTCTGTGAGGTTGAGGCTAGCAAGTTCCCAGACTTCTGGGGGAAAATAAAAACACACATAAGAAGTGGGGATACATGTAGTTTAGTGGATAGAGCATTGGCCTAGCATGCTCAAGGCCAGGTTCAGTCCTAGCACTTAAGAAAAACAAAAGCGGTATTCCAGTCACCTCGAGGGTCCCTTACGTAGTAGCTGGGTCCTCTGGACTCGGGTGCACATCTCCCTTTTGATGGTTCTGTCGACGTTTCCGTATCATAAGTGTTTAAGGGGATGGATGGGCCTGAGTTGAGGCCCAGCGGCATGTGCTCGGTCCCGAGGGTAGGGATCTGGGTTTTATCTTTTGAGATGGAGTCTAGTCTCTGTCACTCAGGCTGTTTCAAATGAAGACCATCCTGCTTGGGCAACCGCCTGAGCGCCGCGAATACCGGCTGGTACCTCTACCTCTAGCTTCTTTAGAATATAATGACCAAGAGGCGCATAGCATCCTGGATGATGACGTAGGGTCTCAAGTTCAAAGCCAGCCTGGGCGGCCAACACACGGAGAGCCTGTCTCAAAAAAAAAAAAAAAAAAAAAACAGACATAGCAATGGAGAAAAAGATGGTGGGCAGGAATGGGGGGTGGCACTAAAGGAGTGACCTACCCATGTGCCCGGGACCCCTCCCCACCCAGGAGGAGCTCCATCCAAGAACGTGGGAGGTGGGATCATGGTGAGGACCTTTCTGCCGGGCAGATAACGTCTTGCTGTGTGAGGTTCGGTTTTCCTCACTCTATTTATGCGTGATTACCACATGTGTTGGCCTTGACTCTGGTCAGCTGAGTCTGCCTGTTGACTCACAGGGTGATCTGAGTGGCTAAGAATGACAGCCGGGGCCTCAGAGCAAGCGAGGGGATATGGCCTCTGAAAACTAACCGGATAACTCCAGTCTCTATTTCTGGGAGTTGACATTCAGTAACCAGCAGACTAATCAGACCCCTGAGGTGGGACAAACAGCTTGGACAGACAGCTTGCCTAGGGTGCCTGCCGCTTGCTGCTGTTCCAGTTCTGCTGTGGGAGCCTACAGTTAAATCTGAATGACCCCCAAGTTTGGCCTTGTCATAAACTGTGGCTATCTGTGGGCAGGGCAGGGTGGAGCTGGTTCACATCAACCAGCAAGACAGGGCCTTCCCAGGGAAAAGCCAGCTAGGGCTAGAGCAGAGGTTCTCGACCTTCCTAACACCATGACCCTTTAATGCAGTTCCTCGTGGTGACCCCAACCCTAACATTATTTTCATTGCTACTTCATAACTAATTTTGCTACTGTTATGAATTGTAATATCTGATATTCAGGATATCTGTTATCGAACCCGAAAAGGGGTTTCTATCCACAGGTTGAGAACTGCTAGGCTAGAGAGACCCTGACTCAGAAACAAACAAAAAAACCTCCAAAACAGCTGGGCGTAGCGACCCAGAGGCACCACAGGCAGATTTAATCTCAGCCAGACGCAGGCAAGATTTCTGAGTTGAAGGCCAGCCTGGAACCAAATTGATCCCCATCCTATCTCCCCCCCCCCACACACACACACAAAATCAAACTGATTTGTATGTGAGACAGAGGTGGGGTCTTACGTAGCCCAGGTTGGCCCCAAAGTCCTAATTCTGCCTCCACCTCCCACATTCTGAGGTGACAGGTTGGTCACCACACCCCGCCCAATGGCTGAAGAGTTTGCCTTGCCCTCCAGCCAGCCTTTGCTCGGTCTTAAGCAGCGGTGCCCATTACCTACGTTGTTCAAGGTCTAAACTGCAGCTCTGGATGTTGCCAGCACCCAGAAAAAGCACCAGGTTTCTGACCTCTGACCTCTAGGTAGGGTCTCAGAGCCTAATCTCCCACAAGTGCTCGCCTGGCCTGGTGAGGTAGGTCTCCTGGTCTGAAGTTGTCCTTCCCCAAAGACCAGGTCAGGAAACTGTGGCAATCCATATTCACAAGGGACCTCTGAACAGGAAAGCATGTCTGAGAGACACCCTCATCCTGACTCTGACCACCATAGAGCTGCATCGGTTCTTTCCCACTGTGATGGACATGACTGGGTATTTGTTGTTGTTTGTTTTTTGGGTTTTTTTGTGATTTATTTACTTTCCTGTGCATTGGTGTTTTGCCTACATGTATGTCTGTGTCAGGGTGCCAGGTCCCCTGGAACTGGAGTCACAGACAGTTGTGAGTCACCATGTGGTTGCTGGGAATTGAACCCAGGAGCTCTGGAAGAACAGCCAGTGTTCTTAACCGCTGAGCCATCTCTCCAGCCCACCTTTATTCCCCAGCCACGTATAGCCAGATTTTTGGGAGGGGATTTTATGGTTGTCACAGGTTTTTTTTTTTTTTTTTTTTTTTTTTGGTTTTTTCGAGACAGGGTTTCTCTGTGTAGCTTTGCGCCTTTTCCTGGAACTCACTCTGTAGACCAGGCTGGCCTCGAACTCACAGAGATCCACCTGGCTCTGCCTCCCGAGTGCTGGGATTAAAGGCGTGCGCCACCACCGCCCGGCTTGTCACAGGTTTTTAGGTTTGGGTTGTTTTTGTTCTGACAATGGAACCCAATGTTTCAGACACTCTTTAAGGACCACTTTAAGAATGGCTCAGTGGTTAAGAGCACTGGCTGCTCTTCCAGAGGTCCTGAGTTCAATTCCCAGCAACTGCATGGTGGCTCACCACTATGTATAATGAGATCTGGCACCCTCTTCTGGCCTGCAGCATACATGCAGGCAGAATGCTGTATACAATAATAAGTCTTTAAAAAGTCACTCTACAGTTGAGCTTCACACCCAGACTCCGGCCAGTCACTAGGGAATGCTACACAAGTGCTCTGTGGCTGAGTAACCCCTTGCTGGGGATCACCCACCAAGCTCTGCCCTAGCTCTAGTTGTTAGTTCTTCGGGTGGGAGAACTGTTTGGATCCCATGTGGTTTATCAGCACAATAGTGCTTTCCAAAGGTGCTTTTTCCATGTTGGTTAGAAGGAATTTTGCCAGCTGGAGTGGTGGTGCACGCCTATCCAGCACTTGGGAGGCAGAGGCAGGTGGATCTCGAGTTCGAGGCCAGCCTGATCTACAGAGCAGGTCAGCCAGGGCTACACAGAAACCCTGTCTCAAATGAAGAAGGGGTCTTGCCTGCGGTGAAGACTGCTTGCCTAGTCCTACAGCACTGTCTGCTGTGAACTCAGCCCCCCTCCTCAGTGCTGAGTTCTCAGTCTGGGGGGAGTAAGGGAGGGGCATCGGAAGAGCGAAAAATTCTAACCTGGCCCTACATCAGGAAATTAGAGTCAAGACAGATTTAGCAGCTAACAGCTGGGTAAACCCATATGAAGGATCCAGCTGGTTCTAACTGACTGTAAGCATTTTAGGTCAGTCCTTGAATGTGAATCATCCTAAACATCCAAACCATGCCATATCCTGCTGCTGGGGTAGAAGCTAGAGGAGCCGTAAAAGACAGGGTCTCACTATGTAGACCGTGCTGGCCTGGAAACTCAGAATACCAGCACACACACACACACACACACAATCTGCCTCCCAAGTGCTGGGATTAAAAGTATGAGCCTAGGGGCTGGAGAGATGACTCAGAGGTGAAGAGCATTGGCTGTTCTTCCAGAGCTCCTGGGTTCAATTCCCAGCACCCACATGGTGGCTCACTACCATTTGTAATGAGATCTGGTGCCCTCTTCTGGCCTGCAGACATACATGCAGACAGAATACTATACATAATAAAGAAATAAATCTTTTTAAAAGAGATAATCTAAAAGCATGAGCCAAAGACCTCTAACCTAGAGGTCATGGACAAAAGGAAGCTCGGTGAGTATAAAATAACAATATGGGATGTACCTCAATTGGTAGGGGGTTTGTCTAACATGCATGGAGCCCTGCATTCCGTCCTCAGGACAGCATGAACCAGGTGTGGTGGGGCACACCTGAAATCCCAGAACTCAGGTCCGGTGGTCTGAGGATCAGTTCAAGGTTGAGGGTGGAGCCATGGCCCCATTGCCAAGAGTGTTCCACGTGCATTCACCAGGACCCAGCACCCACTTGGCAAACCAAGCGACCTGTGCTGCTCCTCCACAGGACCATCAGCTGGCGCTTGCTGCCTTCCAGCCTAGCTGAGCAAATTCACATTCAAAGACCCTGCCTGGGAATAGGTAGAAAGTGATAGAGGAGACCCCAACGCCCTCCTCTGGCTTCTGCATATGCCTGTGTACACGCACCCACACAAGATCTTTTTTAAAACTGCAAGGTTATATTGAAGACTAGCCTGGATTACATGAAGCCAGTCTCGGGAATAAAATTAAAAGATGGGGTACAAAAAGTAACAGCACTTGGGGGTATCGACAGGAGGATCTGGAGTTCAAGACCAGCTTCTGTAAATTTGAGATTAGTCTGGGCTGCATGGGACCTGGTCTCAAAAAAACAAAAAAGCAAGCCCTGCCAGCTTCTGGGAGTACAATCATTCACCTGTAATCTCCGAAGGAAGAGGTAGGAGGAAGTGCTGTGAGTTCGAAGCCAGGTCACCCAGGGCTATACAATTAGAACCAATCTGTCTCTGACACTCATGCGCACGCGCCAAGGAAGCAACAGTGTTAACTGGCCTGACCCTGAACTATTACCTTGTTACAAAACGGAATGAGGCTGAATGCAGGGCCCTGGAGTTGGTGGGTGCTGGGATTCAGGAGTGTTCCTGGCCCAAGTCTGGGATCTGTTCCCCATAACCCTCGGGGACTCCAGCACCGTCGTCCTCTGTCTCCTCCTGGCGCACACTGTGGGTCCTGCAGCTGTCCCTGTTAAGTGCGGGAATCCGCTTCAGGGAGCCTCCAGGTTACGCCCAGACCCAGATGGCAGTAGCAACCTCCAGCCCACCCAATCTGAGATCTCCATTTCTGGGTGTCTTGAGTACCCCCTCTCCCCCCACAAACACCTGGACTTCAGACGAAGGATTGTGCTGCCAGGCATCGTAGAGTGACCACTCCCCAACCTCTGGCCATTTCGGGATGCCCAGGTACCCGGATGTGAGCTAGGCAGGGCCGCGGCTCAGCCCCGCCCCACCCTTCCAGGAGATCTACTTCCATCCTGCATGCAGCAAGAGCCAATCACGAGCCAGCATTTTGCCTCCGTGCCAATGGCTGGCCTGTTGCTGGGACTCGCATCCCTGCTTTGGAATCTGCCTGCTGAGCAGGCCAAAGCTCTAATGCCGAAGCTTATCCCGGCTTTCGGGACCTCTTTTCTCCCCTCTGCCTCCGCCTTTGCAGTCTTTACCGAATAATCTGCTCTGGGCTTTTTTTTTTTTTTTTTTTAGGACGTAAAAACCTCCACGGGGGTTGTCCCTGGAAGGACGTGATCTTGGAGGATGGGGCATCAGGCTCCAGGTGGTCCTTGCCGTCAGGGTTGCCATAGGAACCTCTCTAAAAGCTTGCCGCTGTCCCTCATCTCCAGGTTACCTTCCGGAAACCACCCCAAGACGCCTACATTGTATCTGTCACAAAGTGGGGAACGAGGGCTCAGTATCTTTGCTCAAAGGTGGGAGGCGAATCTGTCCACTTTCATCCCCTCCCACGCTGGCCCTTTGGCAGTGCACTAAGGTGGGCGTGGGCCGCACAGCCGAAGTCCCGAGGACCTGAGTCCCTTCTCTCTGCAGTATTCAAGGCTCCCAGTTCTACCTGGGCAGCACGGGCAGCTTTAAATGAATGGCAGCCAGTTAGGAATCAGCTTGCAACGAGGTCAGAAGAAGAAAGGATGAAGGCCCCTTCCTTGTCATTTCCTAACAGAATTAGAGAGATGAGTCTAGGTGGTGGTGGCACACGCCTTTTATCCCAGGACTCAGGAAGCAGAGGCAGGCAGATCTCAGTGAGTTCAAGGCCAGCCTGGTTTACATAGCAAATTCCAGGACAGCCAGAGCTGCATACTGAAACCCTGTCTAAAAAAAAAAAAGAAAGAAAGAAAAAGAAAGAGAGAAAGAAAGGAAGGAAGGAAGAAAGAAAGAAAGAAAGAAAGAAAGAAATACACATGCGTTTGCCAATGAGTAGAAGATCAGGTGTTTAAATGATTTGTTTACACTTACTATTTGGCTGTGTACGTTTGCATGTGTGTGTAGGCATGTGCATGCCAAGATGCACCTGTTGTCAGAGGACAACTTTCAGAAGTTCTCTCCTTCAGCCACGTGAGTCTTAGATATCAAACTCAGGCCTCTCCTCAGACTCGGCAGCAGGCTCCTTTACTCACTAAACCATCTCAGAGATTCGAAGATCAGTTTGATCCTATCACTCAGCCATGCCCCATCTGTCAGGGAAGAAAGATCAGGGTTTGAATTCACATCTCCCTGTGTCCTAAGTATGCAGGACATCTTTAGCCCATCTACATCATAAAAATGGCCAGACGGTGGTGGCGCACGCCTTTAATCCCAGCATTTGGGAGGCAGAGGCAGGCAGATCTCTGAGTTTGAGGCCAGCCTGGTCTACAGAGTGAGTTCCAGGACAGCCAGGGCTACACAGAGAAACCCTGTCTCAAAACAAAACAAACAAACAAAAACTGTCTAGCAAATTGTGCCTCATGGCTCAGGTTTATAATCCCAGCTCCAGGGATTATGGCTGATGTGTGAGGGTGCTGAGACAGGAGGATGGCAAATTGAAGTCCAGCCTGGGCAACTTAGTGAGATCCTCTCTAAAAATAAAAATGGGTAGAGAAAATGGAGGATTAGATTAGCTCAGTGGTAGACAGACCTCTTGCCTAGAATCCCCCAGTGAGGGACTAGGGTGTGACTCAGTGGTAGACAGACCTCTTGCCTAGAATCCCCCAGTGAGGGGCTGGGGTGTGACTCAGTGGTAGAGCACCTGCCTAGAATCCTCCAGTGAGGGGCTGGGGGTGTGGCTCAGTGGTAGAGCACCTGCCTAGAATCCCCCAATGTGGTTTAGTGGTAGAGTGCTTACCTAGGTTCCAGTCCCAATGCCACAGAACCAAGTAAATGCCTGGAACTCACAGGCTTCCTGCTCTTAGTCCAGGGACACAGCTTTGTTGTAGTGCACACACTAACATGGGTTCAACCTCCAGCCCCACAAAAATGATAAAAGAAGCTAAGTGTGGTAGCGTATGATCATATACACTTTTTTCCTTTTTTGGTTATTTATTTATTTATTTGGTTGTGTGTGTGTGTGTGTGTGTGTGTGTGTGTGTGTGTGTGTTTCATACAGGGTTTCTCTGCATAGCCCTGGCTATCCTAGAACTCACTCTGTAGAACAGGCTGGCCTCGAACTCAGAGATCCTCTTGCCTCTGCCTCCCAAGTGCTGGGATTAAAGACTAAAGGCATACACTACCACTGCCCCACAGATCGTATATACTTCTAATTCCAGCATTTGGGAGGCTGTGGCAGGAGGATCAGGAGTTCAAGTCCTGCCTGAGACAAAAACAGGTATCTCAGTTGGTGGAGTGCTTGCCTGGCATTCACAAAGCCTTTGCTTCTGTCACCCCCACATAAGTCTCCTGGGACACATGCCTGTGATAGTGGAGGCAGGGAGATTAGGAATACAGAATCATTCTAGGTTATATACCAAGTTCAAGACTGGGCTGCACGAGACCCTGTGTTTGGCTTTTTGTTTTGTTTTGAGACAGGGTTTCTCTGTGTAGCCCTGGCTGTCCTGGAACTTGCTCTATAGACTGGGGCTGGCCACAGACTCAGAGAGTTGCCTGCCTCTGCCTCCAGGTGTGTATCACCACCACCGACTGAGTCTCTGTTTTTCTTTTTGGGCGGGGGCAGCTGAAGCTGGATGTGGTGGCACACACCTTTAATCCCAGTATCTGGGAGGCAGAAGCAGGTGGATTTCTGAGTTCAAGGCCAGCCTGGTCTATATAGTGAGTTCCAGGACTACTAAGACTACATAGAGAGACTCTGTCTCAAAACAACAACCAAACGGAGATGGGGAGGCAGGGGGATGCTGGATGGCTGAATAGTTAAAAGCTTGTATTGCTCCAGTAAAATTCAGTTTCCAGCACCTACCTCTGGTGGCTCAAAACTACCTATAACCCCAGCTCCAGGGGATCCAGCGCCCTCTTCTGGCCTCTGCAGGTGACTGCATTCCTATGCACATAGCTACACATAGATATTATTAAAAATATTTTTGTTGTTTTTTTTTGTTGTTGTTGTTTTTGTTTTTGTTTTTTCGAGACAGGGTTTCTCTGTGTAGCTTTGCGCCTTTCCTGGAACTCACTTGGTAGTCCAGGCTGGCCTCGAACTCACAGAGATCCACCTGGCTCTGCCTCCCGAGTGCTGGGATTAAAGGCGTGCGCCACCACCGCCCGGCTAAAAATATTTTTTTAAAGGAGGTGGATGTTGTTGGTGGCACATGTCTTTAATCACAGCACTCAGGAGGCAGAGGCAGGTGGATTACTGAGTTCGAGGCCAGCCTGGTCTAATAGTGAGTTCTAGGACAGCCAGGGCTACACAGAGAAACCTTGTCTTGAAAAAACAAAAAGCAAAAACAAAAACAAACAAACAAACACACACTAGGGCAGGGGAGTTGGCCCAGTGCTAAGAATGTGTACTACTGTTACAGAAGTCCTGAGCCCAGTCCCCAGCTTCCATGTTGGATGGCTCGCAATCATCTGTAACTCCAGCTCTAGGGAGTGCAGAGTGTCTGGTTCCTCGGGTCCCTACACTCACACGCACATACCCATACCCATACACAGACACATACACACATAATTAAAAATGAGTAAATGACCCTCAGGAGGCAGAGGCAGGTGATCTGTGAGTTCGAGGCCAGGCTGGTCTACAGAGAGGTCCAGGACAGCCAGGGCTACACAGAGAAACTTTGTCTTGGAAAAAAATAAAAGAAGAATTAGAAATAAAATTATGAAACAGGGTGGGCAGTGGTGGCACACACCTTTAATCCCAGCACTCAGGAGGCAGAGGCAGGTGGATCTCTGTGAGTTCGAGGCCATTCTGGTTTACATAGCTAGTTCCAGGACAGCCAGGGCTACACAGAGAAACCCTGTCTCAAAAAAACAAAAAAAAATTTTTTTTTTAAACATACACCCAAAGTGGCCGGGATTCAGAGATCTGAGTTCAGGCAGTTTATCTCAAACGCCCACAAGTACATGAACGGTCCTTTGCTGCCCCTTAGTGGCCTGGGGTTGCTGATGAATGAGTGACAGCTAGCAGGTGCTCGCTCTGAACAGCATTAGACACAGTAATCAACAATTCCTGTCCGGAAGGGACACCAGGGACGACCAAAGGCCTAGAATCCAGATGTGGCCGCTAGACCTGCAATAACAGAATGGGCTGGCAGCCCAGAGGCTTGAGCACAGCCAGTCTCTCAGCAGGGACATTTTCAAGACCAGACAGGGTTTCTCTGTGTAGCCCTGACTGTCTTGGAACTCGCTCTGTAGACCAGGCTGGCCTCGAACTCACAGAGATCTGCCTACCAGAAACTCCTTTTCTTTCTTTTTTTTAAAGATTTATTTATTTATTATGTATACAGCATGTATGACTGTGGGCTAGAAGAGGGCACCAGATCTCATTACAGATGGTTGCGAGCCACCATGTGGTTGCTGGGAATTGAACTCAGGACCTCTGGAAGAATAGTCAGTGCTCTTAACCTCTGAGCCATCTCTCCAGCCCCCAGAAACTCCTTTTCAGTCTCTCTCTTTCTCTCTCTCCCTCCCTCCCTCTCTCTTTCTCCCCTCCTCTTATCCTCCCGTGTGGGTGCATGCCTGTATGTGGAGGCCAGAGGACAGTGTTAGTGTCCAGAAATGTCACTGTCTACTTCTCTCGTTGGTTTAGAACTTAGTGACTAAGCTAGGCTGACTGCCAGCAAGCTTCTGGAATCTGCAATTTCTGCCTCACTGGTATGGGGTTACAAGCATGCTCCACCTTGCCCAGAATTTTCCCATGGGTAAAATCCCCTAGAAGGGATCGAACTCAGGTCCCCATGCTTGTTATGACGCAACCACTTTGCCCAACTAGGCTATCTTCCCAGATCCTAAAACTGGGCCTTTTGTCCCCATTTCCTCTTTGGTCTGGTAGACCTTAGAAGCTGAGCAGAGATTCCCCTGGACACGGTAGAGTGTCTGGGAGAGCATCTGGGGACTTCTGGTGGCGGGACTAGGGATATGAGCATCGTTCAGGGCAGTCTCCAAGCCTGGTGAAGGCGGACTTCTTCTCTGGATACGACTTGCTCAGCCCTGGGACATTCAGCCTACCTTCTGAGGACCAGGGACTTTTCCTCCAGAGCCCACTTCCTCCTCCCCTGAGGCCCTGGCCTTAGGGCTTCAGGAATCTCCCCTGAGAGATCAACCTATGTGGCTACTGTCTGGTCCAAAAGAAACTAG